GCATTCTGGAGATGAGTATTAGGGAAGGAGCGGGAAGAAAGTCAGAGTTCCAGGTGAAAAGGGAGAAAAGCACGCAAAGAACTACGAAAGTGTCCATGTCCTTCGTAGATCATTTAAAAACCTTAGCCAAAAAGAAAAGAAGACCCATAAATCCCACATCACCATTCCAGTTTGACTATACCTATTTTTTTCTATTTAACAAAAATAGGATCATAATAGACATACTATGTTTCAGCCTGCCATTTTCACCAAATCATATGTCACGGATGTCTTTCCATTTATTTTTATCCTACCACAACATGTAAAATGGATGCCTAATCATCCATTTCATGAAGGTATCGTGATTTATGTATTGAATCAAACTTCCCTATTGTTAAAGATTTTGATCGTTTCTAGTTTTTTCACTTATATGAAAATGTAAATAATTTGCAGTAACATCTTTTAGAGCCCAAATTTTGCATACAGCTATGTTTATTTCCTTAGGAATAATTCTTAGGCACAGAAATAATTATTGAGTTAAAGTATGAAACTGTCAAGATTTTGATTTTTTAAAAGTAATTGTTCTTAGGTATGTTATATCCATTCACTCGATTATGAGAGTGTCACGTTTGCCTTATCCTCACTAACTGTAAATGTGGTTATTTTAAAAAATATTATTGTTGCAGGTACTGCAAGAGTAGGTTTGAGCCTCAAAGAAACCAGATTCTTAACAAACGATCTACACAGAAATAAGATCTGTGGGCCTAGGGTCAGGTTCATTTAACTAACTCTGACTCTTTCCTGTGGTGATACACATGAGGATGTCACTCTCGTGTGCTGACGTAACCTTAAAACTCCTCTTCCACCATTAAAAGGAAATCCTACTTTTATCTTTTATAGTGACTCCCTAGAGTACCGGTAAGAAAGACACAGTGTATGCACACATCGATAGCTAACACTGACTGAGCACCTACTATGTGCCAAGCACCAGGTGCAGCATTTTACATTGTATTTTCCCACTTAATCTTCTAACTTAGCAGGAAGGCACTATGACATCCCAACCCCCACCCCACTTGGCACCCATTTTAAGGATAAGAAAACTGAGGTACAGAGTAGCTTATATTTGCCCAAGGTCACCTAGTTATGTGACAGTTAAGTCATCAGCAGCACTTTCCAAAGTTAATTCCATGCTCAGGAAATAGAGATTTTACAGTCATAGCTAAGCAAGCAAGAACAGGCCTGTGCAGAGGCAAACAAAGGCCAGGTCAGTGAGTCATCCATCTGGGGCCTCTGTCATTCAGTTGACCATGTGGTGCCCGAGCCGGAGTCCAGCCTGACGGAGGCCTATGAGAAGTGGCGAGAATGGGCCGATGGGAAGAGCTGCTGTGACTACGCCTTGCACGTGGACATCACCCACTGGAATGACAGTGTCAAGCAGGAGGTGCAGAGCCTCATCAAGGACAAAGGTGGGCTTCTCCTCCTCCCTTGCCTTCCCCCTCGCCCACCATGTGCACACCGTCCACTCACTTGAGTCCTTTCTCCTTGCTTAGAGCCGGAACCTTGAGCCTGAGTGCCAGATGTAGGGGCACCACTCTGCCCAGGCACTTTACCTTTATTTATGCCATCATTTTATCCCTCACAGGGCCCCCACGAGATAGGGATTGCTATATTCACTTGTCAGGTGAGGCTCAGAGTGAGTAGCCCCGGATTACAGAACTAGTAAGCAGTAGATCTACCTGCAGTGTACACTCGTCACCTCTGTGTAATGCTGCCCATTTGACAGAGGAAGAAACTGAGGTCAGGAGAGGTTAACATCTTACCTAAGGTCACACAGCTAGTTGATATGACATTAGGAATTTTAAACCTCCATCATTTTAACTTCAAACATCAAACCATTACTGTTGCATATCAATAGCATCCACAGAAAATGCTAAGCCATTTCTGGGAGCAAAGATATGTTCGTATTCAAGCTAGGAGCTTAGGAGATGCAAATATGTTTGTGTGTGTGTGTGTGTGTGTGCATGCATGTGTGTTTGCTTAGTGTACATGACTTAGGTTCCCATCGTCTCCTTAGATTCTTCTATTCTCTACTTCTTTCTGCATTTTGATTGCCAGATATTTCACACACATGCACCAGCCCCCATATGCGCACACAGTCACATGACGTGCTTGGCATTGTAAGGCAGCCTGGGGGACTTAGGGAATGACCTCTGCTTAGTGTCCAAGGCAAAAAGAAGCAGGCCAGCAAAGAGCAACAGAACAAATGCCTCAGGATGCAGAACTGCTACCAAATGAGTAGTCTCGATGCACATGCCATGAGTGCCGAGGAAGAGAGCATGCTGGTCGGAGGGGCGAGGCCCACTTTCCTTTCTATCCCCTACCTCACCCCTTAAGCTCTGTCCCCTCCTTCTTCATACGGCATATGAGAATAACCCCCTCCCTTCTTTCTTCTGCTGCCTTTCACACTTGGGTGGAAAACTGGACAGCTTTAATACCCGCTTCTCTTCCAAAGGGCCTGGGTCATTCCGTGGATGATGCAGAGGCTATGGGAAGGGGAGTGTTGGGGAAAATCTGCCCTTGATTGAACCAATCCGGGTAGGGAAGTTCTCAAGTTACAGCCCACTTTTGGCCTGGAACACTGTGGGCTGAGATGGCCCTGATGTTTGGAGACCAAAATTATCCTGTTTCTCAAAATGACTTTCTGTTCCCAGTCCCACCTATTTCTGTAAATTACTGTATTAACAGTTTATTTTGGCTGAAAAATGTGTCTCTTTCTTTATGACGCTTACAAAATATATATATATATTTTTAACGTCTACAGCACCTGGTATTCCTAGGTGGTCTCCCATTCAAGTACTAACCAGGCCCGACCCTGCTTAGCTTCATAGATCAGATAAGATTGGGCTTGTTCGGGGTGGCGTGGATATAGACACAACTTAGATATTTAAATGCCAGGTGATACCTGACTTCTGCCCATCAGTTCTGTTAATCTCCAAAGGCAGGGTCTCTACCACAGGTCTCCTCTGAGATCCAACGCCCCGCATGGGCCTTGTGTAGAGCGGGCATTTTTACATAGTAAAATAAACCAGTCCTAGGAGATCCATTTATAGGGACCAAATATGTGCTAGGCCTGGTACTAAGAGCTCTGCATGCGTTACCTCATTTAACGTTCCCAACCACCCTATGAAGCAGGGTATTGTTATTTTTCCGTTTTACTGATGAGGAAAAGGAAGTTCAAGAGGTTAGGTATTCTAAGCTTACTGAACTAGTGTATGGTGCAGCGTAGGAACACAACCCGGGTGCTACAGTGATTCTCAGTGATATACACCACCTCAAGCAATAGCGAAGCTTATTGACCCTCCGGGCCGGAGAGTGCTGGAGGCGGGAGGCAAGAACGAGTTGCTGAAGACCGTTCTCTATGACATCACGGAGGGATTGTTGCTTTTACAGTGTGAGGAGGGAATAGAAAAACACTTGTAGAGAATGGGAAGCATCTACTTTATGCTGGACGGGAGGCGGTAATGCACTCGGGCCCCATGGGCGATAGAAGAGGGAGCAAAGGATGGAGAGTGGTATGATAATGCTGTCTTCTTCCTGTTCCCCGCTTTCCCTCTCTTGCAGGGGTTAACTCCTTCATGGTTTACATGGCCTATAAGGATTTGTATCAAGTGTCCAACACAGAGGTAACGACCCACTGCTGTGCGGTTTGGGGTATCTGGATGGGTTTCCTATTGCTACTAATGACCTTGGCTCTTTCAACATGAGTCACTGTGGGAGACCGCTGGGCTAAAGTGCTTCTGGAAGACCTTGCTGTCCGTGCTACATTTTAAATAAGGCAATGGGCAGGATGCCTGTGGAAAGGCAGACAGGGAGCTAGAATTTCCACTGGCAGCAGCTTTCTCAAAAGGGCAAGATGAAGGGCAAGCCCAAATCTCTACCTACCCCTTATGAGCTCAGTGAGCATGTGAGGTGCTCAGCCTTGCAGGATTGAGGAAGGCCTTCTGTCATTCGAGGCGATCATCCCAGTTTGCCTCTGACTCTCTGCCTAAAAAATTCGTGAGATGTGTTTTCAGACAACTCTCAAGTTTTCAGAGGAAATATAAGAAATTAATTCTTATACCTCCTGGTTAAGAAGTGAAGGAAGGTCTACCTTGAGAGATTAAGAGATAAGGGTTTCAATTTTTGCATTAGCTTCTGGCCAGGCTGTAGTGGCTTCCAGAGTACTAGATGAGAAGGATTCAGAAGCTCAGTGGGAAACCCATAAAAATGTGTGCTTGAGACAGCGTAGAGACACAGCAAGCCCTGTATGTAGACAGTTTCCTAGAGTTCCTTTGGACTAAGCACTCGCTTTTGCTTGTGCATGGTTTAGTCTTTATTTCTACCCTAGTCAAGTTATTTCCTCTGGTTTACCCCATTCATTCTAGCTCTAGCTCTAGTAATTGCCCTTGTGTGAGGTTGCCGAAAGCATCAGTGGCTTGTGAAGGTGACAAAGACTCATTTCTATTTCAGCTCTACGAGATCTTCACCTGTCTGGGAGAGCTGGGAGCCATTGCTCAAGTTCATGCTGAGAATGGGGACATCATCGCCCAGGTAACAGCCTGCAGCTCCCTGGAGTGTGCTTCTTGCTTGGGCTTCTGTCTCTATATCCCATTTGGTTCCTCATTTCTTCACTGTTGCTTGAGCTCTCAGTATGTGGCAGGCACTGTCAGGAGTGCTCTGCTAAATACCTGCCCCAAAGGACCTCACAGTCTAGAAGGAGGGAAAATAGGCAATGTAGACAAGTGAGGGAGAAAGTGGAAGCTGCTGGAAAACAGGGAGATCTAGATGCTCTGGAGAATCAGAAAAGACTTCTGGAACGGAGGTTTTCAAATCAGTCCATTCATTGGGAGAGCATTGATGATTCTCTCTTGTAAATGAGTCCAAGCTCCATGGTGTTCTCTGTCCTAAAGGAAAACTCTTCGGCAGCATTTCTCAGAAGCTGGAAATCTGATCCAGGACTGTGGCACTCATGGCCTTAGATAATCAAGAATTTAGGTCTTGTAGGAATCAGACATCCCACTGGTTTCCTAGAAATCATACTGAGAAACTTGAAGAAAGAGTATTGTGAGGGCCCCAAGGCTCAAATGCATCATTTGTGAGGAAGCAAAAGGCACTTCTTTCTCCATCTCCAGGTTGGTTAATGGGCTAAATGCACAGATGTGTCTTAGCCAGGGTTTCGTTTATCTCAGGATTGGCCTCGGCTAAGTGGAGGCTTCCAGAAAAGAGTGTGAGCTCCCTTAGTCCATTTGATGCCATTAATAACAAGAAATCATTATTCATTCTTTCAAAGAGCATTTCCTGAGCGCTTCATGCCCGGCACTAGGCTATAGAAGTGAGCCAAAACAGATGCCTTCCAAGGCTCATAAGTGCTTGGGCTGTGCCTTCATTTTAGAAGTTGTCCAGGACTTGGCGAATGTGGTTGACAGGGATGTGGGAACAATGCTTATGTTGACCCTTGTGTCAGACCCATTAGCTTCCAATAGCAGGCACCATTTAGTGAGCAGTTACTACCGTGTGCCAGGCTCTGATAAGTGCTCTAGTATATTCCCATTTAATCTTCACCAAACCTTTTGCAGATGGCTGCCATCCTCTCGTTTTGTAGATGAGAACAGTGAGGTTCAGAAGGATTAGGTCACCCATGACAGGATCACAGCCAATAACTGGGAGAACAATATCTCAGCCCCTAAGGCGATATGCCTCAGTGGGCGTCTTACCCAGAAAAGGTACATCCAGACTCTTACTCCACCACCCAGCTCAGGCCTCCTGACATGGCAGCGCCCAGCAGCGCAGGGCCCCAGCTGGTGGAATATTGTCTCGTCAGTGGAGGAGATGACTAAGAGCACAGTTTTCTCTCGCTTTTGACCAAGGAGGTTAATTAGTCAGGCCCCTGACAGCCTTCTTCTCATCCCCACACACCCAGAGATAATAAAATCATTTTCCAAAGAGAGTCCAGATGCCTTGCCCCCGTGGGAAACTTCCTGGTGATATGAGAGCCCTCATTCTCCCCTTTCTCCAGGTTTTCAGTGCAGCAGCTGGAGGCCCCAGCCCAACTTCCAGATGCCCTAAAAATGAAATTCCCTGTGTCTTCATTCTTGACCCTGTGGAGGCAAACGGGCTCCAACTCAAAACGTCTTCTCCAGCTTCCTCTGGGGCTCCTTAGCACAGTTGCGTCTCTGGTTTCCCCCGCCCCACCCTCCCTACCTTAGGAAGATCCGTTCTCAGTCAGGAAAAGAATAAGGGCATCTTTCCATTTGGATGAGTTTCTAGTGCATGTTTATTAAATTCAGCTGGAGCCAAAAGATTTTTATCACGTTATCTAAATGAAGGAAGCTGCTATACTCAGTCTCTTGCTGCATTTTATGCCAAAGTGACTAAAGAGGAAGACAAAATCTTTTCCTGTGGGTCTCAACAAGGTACATTTTTCCAAGTTTCAAGCTGGCAGGACAGTCTGAGAGTACAGCCTCATTAGCCATCCATCTCACAAATGTTCATTGAGGGCCTACGATGTGTGAAACATTGGGGAGAGAAGACAAAAAAGACAGAGTCCCTTTCCTCATGGAGCAAACCGAAACTGCACTGTGACCCAGACTGTGATGTAATCACATCAGTGATCAGTGCCTCAAAGTGTCCCCGGCTCCCCATCCATGTCAGGTAGTATCCGTGAGTCTTTACAAGGCGTTCTTAGTCCTCCAGCTGTTAGAGGCACCATATCTTTTAGAAGAGGACTTTCCAGCATAAGCAGTGTATTAGAATCACCTGTGGAGCTTAAAGAACAATTTCTAGGATTCTTAGTTCTGGAGATTCTCATTCAGGAGGCCAGGAATAGAGTGTAGACAAGTATATTTTGGAAAAGTTCCCCTGGTGATTTGCATGTGTGTGGGAACCACTGTTCCAGACAACACCACTGCTTCGTCCCGGGTGTTGTCCCAACAGTCTTGAACCAGATAGGAGTGAGCATGTTGTATAGCACAGAAGATGCTTTAACCCTTGTGTGACTTCAGCAGGCAATTCAGCCTGGAAACGCACCAGAGTTTGGAAGAAATTTTCTTCAGTCCAAGTTTCAATAAATGAAACAGTAAGAATGAAAAGCAGTGGTACTCCGCTGGAAAAATCAGCCTCTGACCTTTTTTCAGATTTTGCAGAGCTGGGGACAGTGACCGTTTTACATCTCAAGGTTGCTTATAACATATGCATTTTCCTTTCTACTCCTCATTTAAAATTGTATATTATTAAAAACAAACAAACAAACAAACAAAAACGCAACAAAAAAATAGTTCTTCTTTTCTTTCTAAATATCTCATAGTTCCAAAGTGAGACAAAGCA